TCTTCCTTTCAGTGCAGAATTAACAGCTATTCAAATCACACGACGACTTTGGAACTTATTTTATTTGTTAAAAATTTCATAGGGTCTTAAAATAACTGCAAATTTTTTTTAGTAAAACAATTGTTTATTGCGGTTTGGCTCTTAATCTAATCTTTACTAATATATAAAACTTTAGTGGTTTTTACGGATGTTCCGTTATAACAACTGAATCATGCATTCGATTGACTTGAAACTTGGTACCCATGTAGAAAATACATGTACTTAATGGATAGGCTAATATTTATATGAGTGTTGGACTCCCTACACCAGTTGCGGGGGCGTTAATGATGAGAATCTTTGTGGGGGTGAGAAATAATAATGTTTATTTTAAATGCCCAGTGAAGCGGACGGGTACATACAGCTAGTAAATTATAATATTAAAATTTCTTATTCTTTATGATAACGAAAGTAAAAGGAAACGTAATGCCGACGTAACCAGCCGATTCGAGACGAGTGCTCCGACCTCTGTGGCTACGAAAGCGAAACCAAGGTTAGGCCAATAGCCATGTTTACGGGCGCATATTGTCCTTCCGGTAATGACCGGCAAATACGTTTTTGTGACGCGATCATTATTTTTTCACAGCCCACCTGATGTTAGTTGGTTACTAGAGCCCATAGACATCTACGGCGTAAATGCGCCACTCACCTTGAGATATAAGTTCTAAGGTTCTCAAGTATAGTTACATCGGCTGCCCCACTCTTCAAACCGAAACGCATCACTGCTTCATTCCAGAAATAGGCGGTGGTACCGACCCGGGCAGCCTCACAAGAGGTCGTACCACCAGTAAAAAGTAGATAAATGAACGATTAGGCATTTTCATGGAAGTTAAGGCCTAGGGGAATATACGAGAAGAACAACGTTTGGTGTGCGCCGGAAACTTGCCGGATCGGTACGAACGTACAATGTGGAAATGCAAAAAAAATATCACAATATTTTTTTATTGAAAACAAGACTTTACAAGCGATTCGGAATTCGGTCTCACTGAGAAGAATCGACAAGAAACTCGGCGGTTGCTCTTTTTCAAATATCGGTAGGAACTTATGGACGTCGCAACAAATAAAATTAAATTATTGCGAGCGAGTTAAAAGAGCCAATTCTATCGGTTAAATTTGTAGTGATATTTGGGTTATATTCCTAATTATATAGTACTGGAGGTCCCGCAGTAGTCGAAATTCGACTATAATTAATTGGAATTGTATAATAAGTTGGTACACTATTATGATTGTACTTTATACTTCTATAATCACAAATTTCGGGCGACACTATAAAAAATATTAATAAAGACAAACAATATTTAATCTATTCTCAATTTGACCACAAACGTCAAGAACAAAAGTTTGACAGTAAATAGTATGCAGGCGTGTGTGCGTCAAATACATGGTATGTTGTGTGTAATGTTTTCTTCATTGATTTAATGTATATTTTATGCATTATTTAAAAAAAAAATTAGCATTGTGCACTTCTTCTTTATATTCTCTATAAGTGTGGAAAATTTCATAGTCCTCCGTCCGCGCAATTTTCGTAAAAAGGGATAAAAAGTTTTTGCTTCACGTATTAATATATAGATAACCGGCGCGTACCCTATACAACCGGACTGAAGAGCGGACAATATGCGCCCGGGCTTCGACTGAATACAGCTTATTACTACATACGTACAAACGCACCTCAAGTCACGTAGTAAACGTAGATTTATTCACAAATGAATTTATGATTTCTAGATATTAAATTAATATTTTTCACAGCGTAAACTGGTATTTTTGTTATAAATGTTTATTTATTCATTAATTGAGAATTAAGGAATCCAATAGTTAGTTGTAACTAATATAAATATTATAAGTGAGAATTTACAAAAAACAAATTCATTATGTACAGGGTTACGAAGTACAAAATCTTTGAATTATTATTCTCGTTTGAAATTGAAAAGTCACGTTTGTCAATAAATAGGAAAATAATAATAAAAAGTGTGTGTGTCCGCTCCGACGCACGACTGGATTTTACTGGATATAAAAAATTAAACGAAACAATACGAGAAATAGTTCTATATTACGACAACACGATACACTACAGATTATTAACAAATTAACGAGACACAAAACAAACGACTAACAAATATATGAAAATACAATAATGAGAGAAACGCGCGATCAGTACGAGGCTTTGTGGCGGACTGCCGGCGCAGCAGCCCGGCGNCTCGTACTGATCGCGCGTTTCTCTCATTATTGTATTTTCATATATTTGTTAGTCGTTTGTTTTGTGTCTCGTTAATTTGTTAATAATCTGTAGTGTATCGTGTTGTCGTAATATAGAACTATTTCTCGTATTGTTTCGTTTAATTTTTTATATCCAGTAAACTCCAGTCGTGCGTCGGAGCGGACACACACACTTTTTTATTATCATTTTAACGGTCTTCAGTGAATTCAGCGATAAACTAGTCTTGCTAAGGCAGATGTAAGCAAATTTTTTTAGGCTGTGCCCCGTTTGCCCGCCCATGGTGACGCTAAAATAGTCCTTCGAGACTACTGGTAGATGGGTAGCCAAAAAAAGTCATAGTATCATCAATAGGCGACAAAGTGAGCGACAAAGTAAGTGGTTTCCAGAAATCGATGTTTATTATTCAACCAGCGATAGTCATAGCATAGAGTGACATGTTTCACTATTATTTTATATTATAATACATAAATATACTTAAACCAGAGGATGACCGAGCTTTGCTCGTTTTTTTTTTGATAACGCCATCTTGTTGTGTCTTTAAAGTTGTTAGTTGCCCTCAATTAAGAAAAATAGTATTATTATTCGCCAATAGATGTCGGGAAGAGTTGATTATTGAAAACACGAATAAAACAAAATTTTCTGAAAATAAATCTCAGCTAGATCGATTTATCGCCCCCGAAATCCCCTGTACACTAAATTTTGTGAAAATCGTTGGAGCCGTTTCCGAGATTCAGATTATATAGGTATGTATATATATTAATATACAAGAATTGCTCGTTTAAAGATATAAGATAAGACTGATAAATTATTAAAGGTTTAAGCCGAATGACCCATTTGAAAAAAAAATAGATACATATCTTCAAAACAAAACGTAAATAAAGATTGGACTTGGACAGAAGTGTGAAATAAGTTACAACTTAACGATCAACCGAGAACTAGCTTAGCGTTAAGTAATCATAAGCAATTTTAATCCAAGCCGGTTCTTGAACACATTTTGCCATATAACACATTCGATTTTTTTCTCTCCAATCAAATCTTGTGAAACTGAAATCGGTCAGTCAGTAATCAGTGGTTTTTTATGTTTATTTCCCTATTACGACGATTTCGTGTTTTTTAAACTTTCCGTTAATTTTTAACACGATTTTATTAGCTTGACCGGTATTGAACTGGGAATCCTTCAACATATTTTTCATTAACTTATTTATTCACTCACTTTTTCATTAACTATTTCATTAACATTAACATGCAACTTAACAGGAGAGCCATTTAAGTAAAGTTTAAAATTTGAAAAAAAAAATTATAACAAAAAGACTTTTTCAGCTATTTAAATGGGGTAAAGTTAATTGAAGCTTAATTAAAAACAACGAACTATTGATGCTACCTGATGCTGATGATACCAAATAGCCTGTCACCATTCGATAAATGACTAACTCACGTCCCAGCCGGTTAGTGGTAAAACGGTTATCCTGTATACGCAACAACCTGAAACGTCTCCTACCTTGTAAAACAAGATCAACCTTCAATACAGTCGAGTCATGTATATTTCACGACTCAAAATCGAACGTTAAAATTGCTTCAGACCAGAAATAGACTGGAATAGAAGGGTATTAGTCAGAAATAATCCTAACTCGTATTACCAACGTTTACAATTGCAAATTGTATTGGTAATGTATTTGTAAATTAGAAAAAACTTTGACAAAAATGTAACAAACAAAAAGTAATTCCGCATATAATAACAGCTTAAATATATTATTGTTACACATGTTATTATGCTACCATTCAATTCTAATTTTAATTCGTGTTCTACGTGCAAAATGACTGTCTATTACAATTTCAACAAAAGGTTTGACTGAGACTGCTAAATCCCTCACCTTAACACTGAACGCAGTTGGCATTGCGATAATGACATGCTACAAAGTCAGATAGTAATCTTTATTGTCGGTTTCGACCACGTTTTTAGTACAAAAATGGTCGTCTTCGCCATTAAATTTAAACGTAAGTGAAACCTTTTTCTAGGACGCTACATGCAGGTAGGACCAAGCATTATCCGTTGGCATTGGCGATTAGTCAGTACCGACAGCTTTACGGCCATTGTTTGGTATGTGTTTTAGTATACAGCGCTATGAAAGAACAGAATAAGTTATTAATAACTAAGTATAGAAATTGATTATGTTATTAAGTTAAAATTTTCATGACAGCAGGTATTTTGGTACGCAGCGGCTTGGCTCTGCTCCTGGCATTGCTGAAGTCCATGGGCGACTGTAACCACTCACCATCAGGTGGGCCGTATGCTCATCTGCCTACAAGGGCAATAAAAAAAGTAGCAAAAATTCACGGTTTATTTCCATGAGATTAAAAAAGGGCTTTAATAATAATCTTTTTCGCTCTCAATATAAAACTACATAAAAGCCAAGGCTACGACTGTCTGCTGTCGACTGATAGTGGATGTAATTGGTTCGAACGTGCACCTCAGAACTGCGTCGTATGTATCGAGTTGGGCCGATAATGATCTACTTGAGCTTTTGTCTGTCTCGATTACTAAATATTGTACACGAATCTGGGTGAATGTTACCCAGGATTACTGGTGTGGCCTTTGTAGTACTTATATTTGTTCATTGCTCGATCTGTGACAATGAACCTTCGGACCATCTGATGAACTTAAATTATGAGATGAACGCCACCACCCTTAACACATAAGATTGAAGCCTGAAATATATACCTAAAAGAATAAAAGCAACAAAGAAATTACCTGCTCCGGAGAGATCATCATAATATTCATCGTCGTCGTCATAGTCTAGTACCGCGTGGAGCTGTGTTTTGCCTCCCGGACTTCCTTGTTCCACTTTGGTGAAGCCGCGCGGTCGATCTGTGGGAGGCTGTCCGCTCGTGCTAACACCAATATTCTTTACTTCATTAGGAGAATGAGTCGAAACTGGTCTGTTTAAAAAGTTGAAATTGTGCACGTTCTGATTCGAATTCCCATCGAACTTACGACTAGAAGAGCTCGGCGTCGAAGCCGGACTGAAGCCTTCCGCGTATCCAGGATTGTATGCGGGAGGTTGACCGTTCTGACCTAATCTTCGCTGTTCATAGTCATAATCCCCTGTGGGATCGTGAACATATTGGCCAGTATTATCAAACTGTGTATTCACTTCTTGTACTCGTTGATGGTCTATTTGTATATCTAGCCTCGAATTCTGTTGGTATAACTGTGTGTGCATCTGCGCGCCGTAAGGATTATGAGGCATGCTAGGGTAGCGTGTGTATTGATTTGGCGGTGGCAGATATGTAGAGCCTGCCCGTTTTCTAATCTTAGATCGTTTTTGATTCGAAGGGGGACTGAAGGGTTCATTGCTTCCTTCCTGTGCTACGTAGTCTGGCTGTTGGCCCTCCGGAGAGTAGAGCAGGTCGTCGAGGTCAACGCGCAGTGGTGATGGTGACGTTGCATCAAGCACTGGCGCCACCGCCTCGGGTGCGGTGAGCGTAAAATTTACCAAAGCCATTGCCTATACGCTCGGCATTGGAACGAAATGTCAACGCTCTATGTCAATACGACAGGCAAGATGATTAAAGTCGCTTGCATAACACCGAGTGGCGTGGGATCGTCTACACCGAACGGGTTTTCATGGTACAACTTTTTAAATCGCACCGATGCCACATACACTCTGCTTTAACACTTTCCGCTCGTGACGTCCGTCTGTAACAATGAAAGGAATTTTTTTTTTAGTTTCACATCGAGAGTTTTATCTTATGAACACCGAAACTGAACCAGTCGTATCGTATTGTCGTGGCATCGTTTATGGTCGGATTTCCCCCAGTTTCGTGATATCCTTGCCACTTTACAAATGGCATCGATTTGAAAGGCGAATCGTGATTCCATTCGACAAACGACTCGAGTCACTTTGGAGCTAAAACAGGGGAAATCCAACACCAAACTCGAAGGTGTGTTGCTCAATAGATTTTATCTTACATCAATTGTGATTATGCTCATAATAACAATGATATGAATTACAAATAATAATAACGAGCGTTATTTATGTGTTCGCTGTATTTTTACTGAAATTAGAAGGTTCTAGTTGTAGCTCACACGCCTTGGTAATACCGTCCAGTTTATTTCTGCCGCAAAATAATGATGTTTTTAGTTTGAAGTTACTTATAATTCCAATGCAATTATAATTGCCATCACAAAGATAGATGAAAGTAATAATGCTGTAGTATCTTTATGCTCCGATGACCACTTAAAACCAGATGATACGCACGGAAAAATGTAACTACCAATTTGAAGGGTGGGGCAGACATTGTACTGTAGAACTAAGTCATAAATCACTTATGTTTCCAGGTGGATGGGGGCATTGACGTTGTTGATGTCTGTAGTAACCGCTTAAAATCAAGTTGGCCATGAGCTGGTTCAGCCGTATTAGAACTAATCTGCCTAACTACATCAAAAGACAAAAGTTACAACTATAGTCTGTGATCGTCAATCACAACAAAGTCAAGTAAGATCCAATTCAATTGAATGGTGAAAACTTAAAGGATAACATATTATGCCTCTTGCTATCATCGGCCTTAGCATTACAAACATACAGCCACATTTTGAAAACAGTATAACCAATTTTTTTTTAAACAAGACATTCGTCTAAGGTAATTTCGTGATATTATACGAATTACCAGTTTAAAAACCTGCTTGCTTATATTATTTGTTAGTTTGTATTTATATTGTTGCCTTATGCCTTTTATAGAGATGGTGAATCACTGGTGTTCGAATAATCTTTATTAAAAATAAATAAATAAAATTTATTTGTAAAAAAAATGTGAGATTTTTGTCATTGTATGTTTTATTTGGTTCGACATTTAATGTCACAATTATTTGGCACGTTGGTCATACCTGATCTAAGCAACACTACAATTAATGATTTCCTTGATTTAGCTTGTCACTAGATTTTTTTTTTATTGCTTATATAGGTGAACGAGCTCAGAGCCCACCTCGTGTTAAGTGGTTACTGGTGCCCATGGACATCTACAACGTAAATGTGCCACCCACCTTGAGATATAAGTTCTAAGTTCTCAGTATAGTTACAACGGCTGCCCTACCCTTCAAACCGAAATGCATTATTGTTTCACGGCAGAAATAGACAGGGTGGTGGTACCTACAAGCGCAGACTCACAAGGCGTCCTACCACCAGTAAATCCCATCACAGTTAGATGATGTTTCTCACACACAGTTTCCCATCACAGTTAGATTACTGACTATATACAAGTTCTGTGCATATTTCTAGGGAATCCGATAACTGCTTAAAATTAAGCGGGTTGCCGATAGTCATGTCAATGCACGGTTTGATAGCGAAATTTTTTGATCAACACCTTAAAAATGTTCGTTATCCGGGGATTCGAGGATAGGGTTATTTTACAGAAAGAAGTTTTCTTTGATACGGCGCGTATCGTGAGAAAGTTTCTCACTCTGGAGTCCTAACTACTGGTGGCTTGTGCCGTAAACTCCGCAATTAATTTTTTATATAGTGTTTTAAATACATTTTTTTAAATCTATATATATAAAAATGAATTGCTGTTCGTTAGTCTCGCTAAAACTCGAGAACGGCTGGAACGATTTGGCTAATTTTGGTCTTGAATTATTGGTTAATTATAAGTCCAGAGAAGGTTTAAAAGGTAGATAAATATAAAAATTCTCGGAATTAAATAAAGTTTAGGTGTTTTATTTATCGGTTGAGGCACTACGAAGTTTGCCGGGTCAGCTAGTATTAGATATTTTATATGAATTTAACAAATTTAGACTAAAAAGGAACTAAAAGTAAAATGCCTGCCTACAGACCCTTCTCCACAATTTTAATGTCGGCCTTTATTACTTGGTTTGTTTTACGCTGAAGTTTATAATAATATTATGCACTCAAAAGTCCCAGTTACCGAAACGTGCAAAATCTTGGCCCTTCACTCTAAGAATTTCCACGAAATGTGAACGGAATACAGATTTAATATTTCCTTAACGACAATTTATGCTAATGCTGCAACATAGTAAAGCAAAGCCGCTTTTGTTCCATACAAATAGGTATAAAGTTAATCAATGCAAAACATGACTTATTTCTTGTTCGAAACATTCAATGTATTTATTAAACATTTGAATGTGTTATGTAAAGTTTAATCTAAATAAATAGTGTTTGTTAGTAGCTGTAACGTTACCGAATTCTATGGACATTACAAGTTGAACGGAGTCAGTTTCCATTGTATAAAAACTATCCCATCATCCTAGTGCAGTGGTCGTCAACCCGCGCTTCGCCGTTTGACTCCTCGGCTACGGTTCTTCTGTGAAATATTACTTATTATTTCTTCTCAGTCGTGTCACTCTTGACAGAGTGGTCGTGATCGTCATGTAGTGTTGGAAGGGGCAGACTTAAGAGACTTTACTTTAAGAGACTAGTCTATACTAATATATAAATCTACAGTACTTTTTAGGGATGTTCCAACTACTGAACCGTGCATCCGATTGAATTGAAACTTGGTATCCATGTAGAAAAAACCGGTACATTCTTAATGGATATTCTAATATTTATATGAGTGTTGTACTCCCTGGAATAATAACGACAATAAATAATAATGTTAGTTTTAAATGCACAGCGAAGCGGGCGAGTACGGCTAGTATACATTTTCCAAACACCAGCCTCAAAATGTTAAAGAAAATGGCTCTTTGAACAAATTTCATTTGTGTGTTATCTATATTTGGCTCTTTTGGTTGACAAGGTTGCCGAAGGTTGCCACTACAACGTTGAACTGTTTCGCCTTAGAAATAGTAGAACGGTGGTATTATACATACCAATTGGTTCTCACGATAATTATGTAAATTTATTAATATCGAGTGTTTTTAGTTTGTTCTACATGCGTGTATCATTTCATTTAAATAGGGAAATACGGTATTCGGTACCTTTAATCTGTAGTGTTTTTGAGTGTGTCAAAATAAAAAAAGAACTAATACAACAAATGAATCCAAGCCTTAAGGCGACAGTGATTACAGTCGAATTTCGTTCACTGGCCGAACTAGTTCTTACAACACGATCGACCATCTGCTAAGATATGCACGATTATTTGTCACTTACTTTCCTGACGCAACTCCTTTTTTTTTTCCTACCTAAGCTGATAGCCTTGAGAGGCTATATCAGCGAAACCTGAACTAGTAGGTGAGCTCACGGGGCTCAAACCTGGCGACGTTGCTAACACGAACCCTAGCAAGAGCCATGCTTCGCAGAATCTACCACCGGATCGGAAAAGCGACCCACTGAGAAGATCCGGCGAGAAACTCAGTGGGCTGTGTCTGAGGGTTAACTTACTCGTCGAGCCCTTTGTCGCAAGCGACGGGTTCGATGTGAACGGTGACCGGTGCTTGAGGTACCTAAAAGCACCGTTAGTGGATCGGGAGGATCCGAAATGACCGCAACTCCACTAGCGCGGTCTACAATTTATATATTTATATTGCGTGGGCAGAAACCCGTTCGAATCGCTTCCATACCGAATTACGTCACAATCGGTTCATTGATTTCGGCGCGAAAACGTACCAGACAGATACTGTAGATCTGCTGAGTATTTGTATATGACAACGATCGCAAGATATGAATTTCAAAATGTTTTTAATATATTTAGTATTTGTTACAGGTGTAGCTAGTTTAATAAGAATCTAAAAAAAATGTATATAATAAGGCCCCGAAAACGGTTACCAATTAGTCTCAGTATAATCATAATCAGAATATTATATTTTGAATAGTAATGAAGCTTATTTAAATGCCTATGACTCACTGAATGCTATAAAGGAATATAGCAATCATATAAATGCTATTATTACTATCAAATAGTGCACACAAGCAGGTTTTTAAAGTGGTAATTTGTATAATAACATGAAATTGCCTAACACAGATGTTTTATTTCAATAATTAATAATTATTGTTTTTTATTTTTTTTTATTGCTTAGATGAGTGGATGAGCTCACGGCCCACCTGCTGTTGAGTGTTTACCGAAGCCCATAGACATCTACAACGTAAATTCCGCCACCCACCTTGAGACATGAGTTGTAAGGACTCACTTTTAATAGTACAATACAGTACAGTAACTTTGTTTATATTAATATAGAAGGAAAGCTCATTGAAATGAGGCTTGAAAAGCCTAATATGGGTCACCCACAAACTGCATGTTTTCAACGAAGCTTAAAGATATCAAAACGTGAAAGATATTGCCGGTTTCAAGAGATGAGGTCGTAATTTCGATTGCATTGTAATAAAGCCTGTTCCACACATTAAATCGTAATGCATAACCGCTTCTCAGCAGATATAAGCAGAAAAGCAGTCCTATGTTTGCAACCATACGTATTTTCACAGATATACAAATTGACTTGTAATTTATTTATCAAAGAATGACATAAGCAACTCTTTATTCCTAAAAATTTGTTTAATTCCTCGTTAAATCTAAATTTGCCACGAATAAAATGCTCGCCACGACTTGTCGAAGTCATAAGCTACAGATTTTATTATGATTAAATATGAATGTTTTCAGTTATTCATCAGAAGACCTAGTGATGTACACACACTTTGTTTTTTGCAGCTAAAAATGTATATTAGATTTTTTGTCTGAATCGAAAGTTTTAACATGCACAAAGTAACGGAAGGACTCTAATTTTTATGTGTGTGGGGGCAATGGGGTCAT